TATGTATGTGGCTTTTCACTGATTGAAGTATGCACCAGACAGGAGTAGAGAAGAAGGAAGAAAAATAATTCTTAAACTATTTCGGTGTCATTCACCCTCGAGACCTTATCACAAAATTTCATCACACACGACAAAATTTCCTTATGTTTTTGGTCTAGTTTCATTCACCTCAAAATAATTTCATTCACCCTTGGGTGAACCATACACCAGTTTAAGAAGTACTGTGGTACACTACACAGGCAGTCCAGCTGCTGTGTAAATAGGCGTACACTCACTGTACTTAGAATCAGCCTGGAAGCTCCGGAACAAAATCTCCCGGTAAAGTTTAATTTACGGGGGATACCGGGAGGATCCCGGTGAGACCGGGACACTTGGGACGTCTGATGTATGTATCTATACAAACTTAATTGATAGCCATTGATATAAACGTTATTGATAGCCATGATAAACTAACGCAAATGCATATATAGATATGCAAAATATACATAATGCAAATGTATATTATATATAACCTATTAATCAAATATAAAATTAATAATTTCTAAAATAATAATATAAATATAAATAATAAATAACCTATGGGGTCAAATTTAATTCAATTCAAAATTCAAAAATCTACGCATAGAAGTGAAGAGAGAACTAGAGGGAACTTCTCTCTTCACTTCTATGGGCCTACGCAGAGGCCTACAGAGTCCTAGCTACGTATGTATTAATTTTCTATGGCGGTGCCTATCGTCATCGCCAGAAATAAAATTTAGTTCCTGAATTACCCGCTAGGCGGCGGAAAATGATCGCGTTCTGACCAATCGTAGAAACGCGCGCGATTTTGAAATGTTTTATTTCTTTTCGTTGTAGCTTTATTGAAAGCTATTGTTTATGTTTATCTGAACTGAAGCGTGCTTATTACATTTGTTGTTTATTCGACATTCTTGAATTAGGATTGCAGTGTAACCATTAAACACTGACATAATGGATACACAAGTTGACGTCGATTTGTTAGGCAAGCTGAAGACAGTGAAGTATGGGGAGCTTCAAAAATTGGCCAAGGGCGTCGGAATAAAGGCAAACCAAAAGGTGAGAAATTCTAACTTTGCGTGACACCTTGTAGGTGCCTAACCTCGTTAATATTAGTCTTCAGAGTCCAATGGAGTATATCGAAGTCGGAAAGAGACAGTTGATCAATCAAATGCACACACACTGAATGACTGATGCTGCAATCCGGCGTGCAGTGAATCAGTCTTAAGTTATACTAGTAATAGTATTACTACTAGTACTACTACTACTACTACTAGTTATAGTTATACTATTACTAGTATTACTATTAGTATTAGTATTACTAATTAATAATTTAGTAATTGGACTTAGTCACAATCACATTCACATCACTTGAAACAGTCGGTAATAAAAATATGGTTGTAGTCTACCATATAAACCAAACCTCCAAATAACCAGCATAATATTAGCTATATATATACTATAGTATATGTATATATAATATAGTATAGAGCATATTTAGGTTGAGAGGGTCTATGTCCCCCAGGGTACTGCCGGAGCGTACCCTGGGTAGGCCTACGCCTACGGTCCGGTCACAGGCCCTTGGAGGCTCACGTTTCAAGAACAGTATAACTACTATATAAGACTATATTACAGGGTTCTCCAAGAGCACTTATACTATAGTCTAGCGGCCTGTCAGGCTATATATCGTCGAGCCCCGCCATCCTAAAATGCACCCGCCACTCTAAATATCATAGCCCCCCGGACCCCCCTAGCACGCAAACCTCCTTTGGCGATTTGCAACTATAGGACCGTAAAGGCAGCACCTGTAGTGTCGTGATGTAGAATTTGTAATGTGTGTATAGTTGTTTGGTTCTGACACTCACTGGGTGGCGGCAGGAGCTGATGACGAGCTGAAGGAATACCGGGAAGTGAAATTAATGGGGTGATTAGTTTCGGTTGGGAGACCGTAGAGTTGTGTACGCCTTTGAGGTCGAGGAAATGAAACAGAAAATCAGTGACGGACATTAAAAAGCACGAACCAGTAAAATTCAACTAATGTGTAATTAGTGTTATTTGTTTTGAGACATTCAAATATTACAGCACCCGCCATGCTATAATGAAAAAGCTTGGAGAACCCTGTATTAAGAGCGAAGCCGCTTTGCTCTTATTACTTAATATAGTCTTATACGCGATCTTCTTGAAACTTGAGCCTCCAAGGGCCTGTGGTCCGGTATACCGGAACGTACCCTGGTACTATCTAATAGTAATATGCCGGACTGTACCTCGCCTACTCCACTGACGAGTCTAGGGAGTCGCCTACTCCCTAACCCTAACCATATCAAATAGTTACCAGGGTACGTTCCGGCAGTACCCTGGGGGACATAGACCCTATGAGCCATATTTAGGCTTATTGTAGTTCCAGTACTGAAATAGCTCTAGCATCTACTGAGCCTACTCTCTAGTACTATACTATAGGCTATAGTACTAACTTTAGTACTGTAGACCTTGTTGCCACAGACACAGGCACAGGGGACAGCCACAGGGACCTGAGCCTGAGGCAACAAGGGCTATAGTATAGGATCTGTCATTATTTACCCCTGATGTGTCTCTTGATGTATCTCTATTTCTATAACTTGGCATGCATATATATATATGTGTGTACAGGTCGTGTGCATTGCGTATTCAGTTGTTAGTTATATGGTTATTGTGTATTTATTTACTCAATGAGTAAATATTAATTTATAGTATGCAAGGGAGTGACTGAAAATGAATGGGCAGGTCAACAGGGGTCGAAATTAGTTTTTTATTATGGTATCCATTCGGGATACCAGGTATTGAAATCTGGTATCACCGCCAAAGATCTGGTATCCGATTTTTTGGATAGTAATTTCAACATTGTTGGTATCCAAAATCTTTAAATTTGCAATAATAGCATTTGAAAATTATTAATATATGTAATGTAATTATTATATAAAAACATGAAAACAGATTCACAGATATACACAGACAAGTACACTGCAGACGTATTGTCTGGTTCGCTCACACATTTATGATCAGATCGCGCACACTCGCTCTACGTGCACTCGCTCAGATGCGCTGCCGTATAAAGTTGATAATTCAACAACCACTATCCCGATTTTGACGATTTTTTTTTTACTATCCTGGCGGGATACCAAGCATTGAAATCTGGTATCCAACACTTACACAAGAATCTACTATCCCGCGGATATCGGGATAGCGCTAATTTCGAAACCTGTGAACCACTAGGTTGTTCAGTTGCTTAGCAGTCAACATGTTGTCAACGTATTAGCCAGCGAGCCGTGCAACCGTGATTTGCACGGTCAGTTTTGAAACTGCATGGCCAAAAATGTGTAGCACGGCCTAAAATATATTGATCCAAAGCCGTGATTTGATCTTACATTTGTAAAATTGCACTCCCAAATATTTTTTTCTGCACGCCCACAATACTCATACCCTGCATGTCGTGAGCACTTCTTAATACTACAACGTTTTATTACATATTAGTTTTGCATATCCTCTGGATGATTTGAGTCGGTATATGTTTAAATTAGTTACAACAAGTTTTTCCACCTGCCCCTTCTAACTCGCTTTGGAGCTCCCCAGGAAACTATATACTGAACAAATGTTATTTAAATGTGTGTTTATAGAGCAAGCACCTGCTGGCTGCTCTGACAGAGTACTATAGACTCATCAAGGTCGCAAGTCCAACTGGTAATGCTAATGGCAACACATCTCACAAGACTATGGATAACGACGAGGAGGAGAGGGGAATAATGGATGAAGAAGAACCAAATGTTCTACTACTTAGTTCATCTGAAGAGGTATTTTCAGCTAGTAATTACTATGTAATTAAATATTCACAAGTAAAACATGTGATTTCCTGCAATAGCCGTAAACTTCCCGATGGTATGATTGTGGATAATAGAGATCCAGAGAATCTCTATTATCCACTCCTGATTGCATTACATGATGGATCACAAGTAACAGCTAATTAGTGGGTCCTATTATTACATTTGTTTATTGTCAGGGACTCAGGGTGTTTGGAAAGCATTTATGTAGGAAAATCTAAATGGGCCAGATGCTTCTATAGACTATTAAACTGTATTTTATTGTTCTATGTAGGTGTCAGGTGGGGAGAACGATAAAATAACCCCAATTCCGAAAAAGGATTCTCACAAAGCACTGAACAAAACAGGTAGACCAAAAAGGAAGAAACAGGCAACAGCAGATGAGGTATGATGTTTATATAGTACTGTTTGTCGTGAATAGGTATTTGACATACAAGTGAGAACTTCAGCTACACAACTGTTTAGGCGAAAGGTTAAGTCGAGCCAGTGAAAAAAATACACGGGGGCTCGGGGCGATTTAGCCCCCGAAATGCCAAAACGAGCCCCCGTAAATTTGCATACAATTCAATACAAATCAAATTTTAGATTGCTATTTTCATCCACGCGAGCTTGAAAAGTAGCCCCCGAAAAATATATTATATTTTTTTCCCTGGTCAGAGCTATGCATATAGCTCTCACAAGTTCTGACGTCAAAATATGCCTGCACAAAAAACGCACGAATGCTTTAATACCTGAAGTGTCCAGATGCTCGGAAATTAACAACTAATGCCAATGGGCACTAACTCGCCTGGGCGACTACCGGAAAGAATTTGTAATGCCTATGGCAAATTTGTTGTCATTATAGATGATTTTTGCAGTAACTAAATGACTAAAATGAATAATTGGCAGTTGGTAGTAAATACAGTATAGCAGACCAATACTTGGTATTGACCCAGATTTCCAGGAGCATATGTAGCAGCGTTCATGATAACCAGTCGAAATGGTTTTAGGTTTTTAATTTTTATGCGAAAATTTTCAGGAACATGGTTCATAGCATATATAATACTTTCTTCACAGAGTGTCAATAAAGCTGATGAAGTTGTCAGCAATACTGATTCAACAAGATTTTTGGAACAGGAACTAGAGACTGGGGCACTTACAGAAGAATGTAAAGATAAATCATCTCCTGCTCCAAAGCATAACGATAGTGGGCAAAATATTGATGTCCATAATCTAACTGTCACATTGGAGAGAGAAGATACAACACCAAGCGAAGTAAAAGAAAATGCAGAGAAAGAGGGCATTAAAAGGCTGCCCAAGAAGAAGGTGCATATATATAGATATTATATCACGAAATCATATATATTATATGTGTCTAACATGATACCTGGTTGAATTCTGGTATGCATAATTTAGAAGCAATGCATCGATCTTCAATGTAATTACTAATTAGGCTTTTTTAGGGTCCGATGTTCATGTCAGATTTTCACTCGGTTTTTGGTTTCATCTTGAGCACTTTTCAGTTTATTCAGCCATTTTTACCAACGATAATAAAAATCACATGCCATGTGTGTATACACCTGTTCTATCACACTTTTTGAAACTATTACTGTTCTGACAAACAAATACTCAATATAAAACCTGCTCAAACATGCTGTGGTTTGTATAAATTTGTGTCGTTCTGATTTCTGATAGATATTTTAAATTAACTTCTACTAATGCTGCAACATATTTATGTGATGGACAGCCTAACCAGAAGGCTGCGTCAAGGAAGGGGAGGATGACGGCACAGCAGAAAGCAGCCGCAATGTCACCTGTATCTGCTGCGCTAGGTGCAGCCCGTGAAACACGTTCTGCTCCGCAAGCTCCAATTGTTGTGTAAGCAGCTGTAATAGTACGCATTGCTGTGTATGCACATGTAAAAATGTGTTTTTAAAACGTGTCAATCGTATTCTCAAGTGCCATTTAGCGGTAGAGAAAGACATTGTACTGCTTTTAAACATTGCTCCATGTGTAAAGCTGGCACATAAACTGCATGTATAAGTTTGATATTTCTGGCATTGTTTTCAGAGAAACACCACCTGTGGCACTGAAATCATGCCGATCTTTCATGAGTCCCACTGTTGCAAGCATGGCGAGACTGAGCGGCAAGAAATCACTTGGTTTGGTAGCTTCTATTCCTCAGAAAAGAGACACCTTTACAATTGAGATGTCATCTACTGGAGGAAAGAGAAAGCGGTCAGATGCTGAAGATGAGATGGCAATTAAGAAAGCAAAATCTGACGCTGATGTGAGTCTAAGATGCCAAAATATATGCCAGATTATATGTTGTTTGTTTAATTCTTGTTAATTGGACGACATATAATATACTACTTTTTGTAGTTATGCATTTTCTTCTAGAAATCTAATAATCTGATAATAATTTTTACATCATTTCACAGAAATCAGCCAGCAAGAAATCACATACAACTGAGCTCTTTGGAAAGACATATATGAAGAGAAAATCGTCTTATACACAGAAGCCTGTGCCAACAGCAGCTCAAATACCACAGCAAAAACTTGAAGAAAAGACTGACAAGACACCACAACAGAAGCTAAATGTGAGCAAGACCCAGGAAAAACCAATCAGGTCGTCTGAGCGGCTTAGGTCAAAGACCAATACGCCAGGTTCTTCAACAAAAACATGTTCGGCGGACACTGATTTGAAAGCTCAAATCATTGCTGAGCTAGATAAGAAAGTCGAGGAAAAAAGTAAGTGGCTCCGTGTCGTACAGCAACATTGTTAGTATTCCACAGCGTTGTGTATTAATGATAGCAGGAGTTAATGAGATAATGAGATAAAACCTAAATGAGAGTTTATCTCATTAACTCCTGATGTTAGTGATGTGTGCAAAGTGCGTGCAAAGAAAAAAACAAAATGATAAAATCTTCAACTTGTTGATGATTTGATTTCTCTCTTGTAAAAACAGCTTGTGGTAAACAACTGTAATAACATCAACAATTGACATTTATTAACTTTATGGTAACCTTTTACAGGAACATTGTTGAGCATTGCTGGGAGCAAGGATATCAGTGGTACTACGTCCCATATTCCCAGATTCATTGCCTTTGCTGCCCAGAAATCAGGAAAAAAGACATACACTCCAGGTTTGTGGTTCTAAGATGATGATGTCTACTTTATTACATTGTTCCATACCACCATACTATGATAGAATGACTAAGCAGAGCCTGCAATCTCATATATTATTTTTATGACACTAAAATTTAACACAGTAACAAATCACAAAATCTGCAGTTTAAAAATGTGTAAGTGTTTTCACTCTTACGTGAAACAAAAGATTTACAGAAACTAACTCCTTTGGTCACTTTTTCAAACTCTAGGTGCTAAAAATTTTGCATCAAAACATCAGCAAAACTTCAACAAGATAGCTGGGCAGTCCATTGAGCATTACCTTGAAATGAAGCGCAAGAGGACTGAGCAACTCACCGCATCCGTCGTAAGAGCAAGAGAGGTCGCCGCAAAGACCAGAGAAGCTGTTAGCCGATTAAATGCATCTGTAAAGGTGGGTGTACTAATATAATTAATAATTATTAACAGGCAGAAGTACGGTTTGGTCTTTTAATTTTCCACTTGTTTAATAACACCCATATGGGATAGAATATCTTGCCTGCTGCAATATTAAAGGGTGTAAGTGAGAATGTGATGCATGCTTGGCTAGTAATTACTTCCTGTGTAGAGTAGTAACTTACGTTATGTAAGTAATATGTTCCTGAACAAATGTCCAAAATGCGAAAGTGCTGTAATCACGTTTTCTCAATGATCAAGATGCTCTCCCCAAGAAAAAATTTCAGTTTAAAGGTGCATTAGAAGAGTTAAGAATCCAAGTAAACGTTTTCAAAAGCATATATTGAATATTTAATTATTTAATACAATTTGTGCTATAATAATACAGCAATACCCTGCGTTGTGATAACTCGGGTTGTGTAAATTTGCCCATACATAATTTGTAAATTATGACCGAAACTTAGTGGACTATTCCGTACAAACAGTGGCATGCTCAATTGGCTTAAGTAAAATAATAAGTACCTATAATACATCACGGCGGGTGGGTCATCTTTGATACACGTAATGTATTGCGATATGTGTCTAGTATTATTTTAATAGCAGTGTACAACGACCTTAGTGACTACATCTCTAGTGGGTAGTAGTAGAAAGAGAAGGTCTACTGTAACCAGCAACAAACTTTAGATAAATTTTGGCCTCCAGGTCACAGCCTGTAACACACAGACAAGACAATTATAGGGATAACAAAAGCGAGACAACAGTTAATAGTGTACGTCTCATCTCCTTCCTTCTAGTTAGTCATCTAACCTTAAATCCCTTTGTTACCCTGCCCGAGTTATTGTAATTTAGGCTAAGGGTATTACTGTAGCTGTAATATATCTAGATGCACTGCAAACATTTAGTGCATATTTTGTGTTGAACTTATTAAAGTTATAGTTGTAAATTCTAATCATTGTCAAATTCCTTAACAGAAGCCATTTGTGCCAATGGCCACCAGCGTTGCGGATGCAACATTCAGGTTTGCCAGGACGGCTGATAGCGAGAACATATCAGCATCCCCAAAAGTCACTAAAAAGAAATCGATGAGTGAAATTGATGAAACACACGGTTCTGCGACAAGAAACAAGTCCAGCCTACCTCTGTACAAGAAACAGGGTTCAAATCGCAAAACTATCCTCAAACCGACGTCTGTCATTAAATCATCAGAAGGTAGGTAAAAGAAGTGCCTGTTATGTGAGAGCTGAATGTACAGGGATTTATATAGGTCAGAAGTACATAATATGGGAATGCAACCCCCCATTTTACGTTTTACCATGTTTATAATTAACTATATGTTTGCTAGCAATGACGCTATCACCATGTTCTTCATGAAGAAAGATGGATGTTGTTCCATATAATAAATTAAATTCACTGAAATCCTGCTGTGTGCATGCACTGTATATGCCCTAAGTAGTAAACAATTTTGAAAATGTGAAAATTTGATGCTAATTAAATGTACTTTTGAATTTGCTGAAGCCTCAAATCAACAGAATGAATGCAAGTTTGACCTAAAGGCAAGCCTCCAGAAGAAGTTATCATATAAACCATATGTTGGTAAACTGGAACCATTGCGTGAAAAACGTGGGGTGGTATCTCGCACACACCTGCATCCAGCCAACAAGACTGGCCCGACTGTTGTTGCGGGAAGGTAGGTGGAATACATGGCTGGGTTAGGAGAATTTAAGGCGTTTACATTTGAACAACAGGTATATACATTGCTGCATATATCCCCGAACGAGAGACCCAGTTATTCATTGTCTTTATTAGCATATATGGTAATTACCATTTGTGAGGTTGATTGTGATCAAGAAATAGAATCAATATATATTCTCTCAATAGATGGTGTTGTGTTGTGTATTGAAATCTTGGTTACAACATTGTGCTGCCACCTATACGGTGTTATGGTAACTATGTAGGCTACCCATAAGTCTCTCTCTTTCCGGTGTACCATGTAATAACGGCATGCAATAAATACGAGTTCCATTTACAAGAGCAGATTATTCTTTATATAAGAACTTTGAATACAATAGATGGCGCCTTCAACATCAAATCAAGTCTGGTAAACTTCATTTTCAACTATGTTAAATTGTCTTATGTGACAAGTGAATTAACAACAACAACACTAATAATAATAACAATGACAACAAAAAACATCTAGAGTTTTTACTTTTTGTTTTACAGAAATAATCGAAGGCAGGCAATGGCAGACAAACAAGCAAATATGCGGGCAAACCAACAGATGTTGCGAAGAGGACTCGTGTAGTTGCCAGCTGCACCCACGTTGTAGTTGTAGGCTTGTACAAATGTGAACCGCCCTCGCACAATACGCAACACAAACAACAATGATATAGTGTCTTTGTCTATTACATAGCTAAATATATCGTCGAGTAACGCTGCCAGGGTCTATGTCTCCCTGGGTACTGCCGGAACGTACCCTGGTACTATCTAATATGCCGGACCGTACCTCGCCTACTCCACTAACGAGTCTAGGGAGTCGCCTACGTCTACTCCCTAACCCTAACCATATCAGATAGTTACCAGGGTACGTTCCGGTATCAGAGATGCCAACCACTACGATTTATCCGTATTTTATACGAATTTCTATTCCTTTTGCACCACTACGACCAGTTTGTATCAAACTACGAATTTCACTGTGATCGAAATAGATTTTTTTTTTTTTCAATTATTGTCATTTTTTGTCAATTTATTGTCATTTTTGACCCTCAGAATGCAGGAGATTGCATCTCAGAATCAAAATTTTTTTCCGGGGGGGCATGTCGGACCCCCCTAGAAAACTCGGGTCACTACGTGACCCTCGAACTACTAATTTGATGGCCAGAAACAACAGATTGCTTCAAATCTCTGTTGGCATCTCCGCGGTATACCGGACCGTACCCAGGGAGACATAGACCCTATCAGCTCGAGTAACAGTGTTGATGGGTTGCCGAAGGACAAAGTTATATGCAGCCTGTTACAATATTCTGACATTTTGTATTGTTCGTACTGTTTGTTTATACCCGTCTAGTTGGCGGGTAAAGTATTCTTACTAAATTCTTATTACTGAGCAGGATGAAATTTTAATTATTGCGACTATACAGTTTTTTATGTTTATAATTTCCTCAGATCTTGAACTTTTTTTTAGTAATAGCTGTAGTTTAGCTATCATATATTGTAACTTTTTGTGTGCATTATATATATTTGTATAAGTGGCTAAATTTTGCATTTTATTATAAGTAACTGCCAACATGCAGTGCAGTATGTAGTAAGCAATGCAGTGTTTATACATAAAAAATACAATGAATTGAGTAATGTGCTGTTCAAGCAGGAGAATCTTCTGCAGAATTTCAATGTTTGCATTTTGAATCTTTTAACTGCACGTGGCAGATAGTGTTGGTTTTCTAGTTGAAAACAATTGAAAATCAAAGTTTTCAACTGTGGATTTTACCACAGCAAATGCACTCCTAAACATGGGTGTGGTCGTTGTCATGTTAGTGTGTAAATACATATACTGTACGCGTAATACATAATGAATGCAAATTAATCGTTAAGTCTCTCTGACATGCTCTGCATTATAGCTCGGTATCCTGTCGAAATTTCTGCATGGTAATTAATGATAACGACGACCTATGTTCTCACTAGCTATCAGTATTTGTGTAGCCAACAGGTATATACCCTGCTAAATAAACTAGGAATTGAGTGCTCAACATCTGTATCTACCGGTATGTTATCTTTAGCTTATGATCGTCGTATAACGCCCACACATACGTACGTGACCGCACCCCCCTTCCCTTTCGCGCGCTCTCGCTCCCTCTCAATAACTTCATAGCTCACATTGTAAGTATAGGGATGGGCTGGCCGTTAAGCAAAGCGGGTTATAGCCTGTCGACTGAGCGAAGTGAGAAGCAAACAAACTGTAGGCATAACTATTTGATCTACAATCAGTAGAGCACGGTAGCAATCGCTCGTGTATGTACTCGCTGTACAAAAACGTATATGCGTACTGGAATCTACAAAGAGATCCGACGAGTCACGAAATCTCGGATTTGTGCATCTTTGCCGTCTCCTATGTGTGGCATGAGCAATGTTCGACAGTTCGAAGGACGTTAGCGCACGTTTATTTCATCCAAGTTATCATGAATATTGCTCCATGCTACCGTCAGATTGACTGCACGTACAAGTGCTACGACGCTTAAAAGTGCCCGATTACTTAATACCTTTTGAAAATGAACTCTTCGCTAAGAGCTTACGCGATGGTTTTACTTCTATGAAACCATGTAAACCCAAATCAATTCCAAGTTTACATTACTTGATAGTATCACTATTCAAGCCGCATATAATTATCTCGTTTTAAGTCATGGAATAACCCAATCATTATCATTATCAGGAGTCTATCAATATTGATAGACTTCTGTTATTATCAGGAGTAAATACAAAACGTTTTTTTATAATCTCATGTTATTACTATGTAAGAAAGCGATTAACGGCGAAACCAGAGCAAATAAAGTTCTTTCGTTTCACAAGTACGCTGAAAGTGATCCGCCGATCATAAGGGCATTGATAAGATATCTTGTGCGTGTGCTTACATACTTCCCTCATGTGTTCTCCGACCCGAATTAAAATGAGAATCGCCTGGCAGCCTTCCCTAGACTAGCCTTCCCCTTCCAGAGATGACGGTACGCGTTGGGGGCGCGGTCATTTGGTCGCGCCTACATGTGCAGGCCGTGTCTATTTTAAGCGCAGCCTCAAGATCGAGTTCCACTAGTCTGTTATCCTAAGCATCGCGACAGCTGCATGAATGGTTCGCCGAGCGCTGCTGGCTGACAGAGAGATGAGAAACATGCACCAGACAAGAACCTGCTGCCAAGAGCCCTCTTGATTACACACGTGGGTGTGGGCGGGCGTGCGTACGTACGTGTGCGTTCGTGCGTGTAAACCAGCATTTCACCTCCCTGTTACTTCGCTGGTTCCACTGCGCTTTCCCTCATCGTGTCGGCTATGCTTAGACCTAATACCTAAGAATCCCAGATATTCTTAGTAGCACCCCCCCCCCCTCTATACGGTGAATGTGAGCATGGAAAAGCTAAAACAAAGCTGTGATTGTTCGGCAAAGCCTGCGCCAAACACAGATTCACTAATAATATATGTTATCAGGCGTGAATAAAATCAAGTGAATAAAATCAAGTTTATAAATGACCGACTTAATAATGTATTATTTATGACGTCAAGCCAAGATTCACCAATATATTTTATGTGCTAAATTATTGAACTGTAGTCTGTAAATAAACTATTCAATCCTAAACCTTGAATCTCGTAAGCACGCGCACGCGATGTTGTTTGTTATGATTACGTATACGCATGTACGCAATGGCTTCCTCTGATGACTTCTGCTACGATGCTTTGCAGCTAAAGCTATATATATATATATATATATATATATGTATATATAATATAGGTGCCTGCGGTTATTTTCCACCACCTGGCAGACTACCAGAACCAGCGAACGCGTTTGGTCAACACGTACCACGTAACGCACTAATGTAATATTATATTTTATTAATTATCATTCCCCATCACATTTTTTCGTAGAGAAAAAAGCAAATAGCATGAAACAAAAATGTGAAACTGGTGTACAATAATTAAGATTTAATATTTTTCTGGATTTCACATTTTGATATGCAATTGTGTATTCTCTTATACAATCATTATGATAAAAAACATTACGTCGATAAAAAAATTATTTAGTACTTCGCCAATTATATATAACAGTTGAATATTCGTTCTGATTACTATTTTTTTGTAGATAAACATCTGATAAAATATCTGATAAACCCAGCCGCATAACATCCAAATAAAACTACATACATGTACCATAATACCACATAATACTAACATACTATCCCATAACAAGAGCCATAGCAAGAGCACATCTTTAACTAAGTGCTCGTTATAATATCGGGACATTTTTTCATTCATGTACTCCTGATAATATCACGAGTGAATAATAATAGATTATTAATATAGATCTATTATTATTCACTCCTGATAATATGATATCATGAGCTATATATTGTTATCATCGATTATAAATGTGGATGCGTAATCATCTGCTACACCGAGTCGTTCAACTATGATTGCCAGCAAAATGACCCGTTTCCCTACAAGACGCGCTATGTGCATTCAGAACAGCACTGAGAAGTAAAGCGGGCACTGCTCTGTTTAGCATCATTGCCTTTATCACACACCGCTCACTAGCATCCCTCTTGGTTCATCATCTTCTGCGCGCAGGTGACAGGCAGTGACATGCCTTTCCAAAGCAGGTCGACAATGTCGTGACACTGGAAGCATACGCCACACGGTGCTAGCAGCACGTAAAAGAAGGACAGGAAGAATCCGATTGGCCAGCCAATGATGATGAGGACGAAGAACCACAGAATTCCCCACAGTATGTTGCCACCGCTGCCAGCGCCCATGTTAGCTTAGCGAACCTGGTGGGATGAAACGGAAGCATGCAAAAGGATTCTGACATGTAGATATCAATATGCAACAATTCTGACACAACAAACTATAACAAGTAAGATTTCTCATCCAACACGCGATATCAATTTCTTGTGTATAGGGCTATAGGCTATACCTATAACCAAAGAGCTGATTAACGTGGCGTGCACATTTGCCATGTTGCATTTTTGACATAGAAAAATAGTAGTCATTTGCTCTATTATTGGTAACTGGACTTGCAAATGTGGTAATGTCGTGTCACACCTATGGTCACACAAACAACGCGAATCAATGGGACAGAAACTAATTCTCACGTGTACAGGTAGATTTGATAATACCATCCACTGATTATGAATATCAGCAGGTCCACCAGGCCACACTGAACTAACATGGTTCCAGCAATCCCCTATCTGTTCTCTTGTTAACATTTCTAGAAAACATCTCAAATTCAGCATAGGAATATATAATACAAATACACCTTGGTATCATGGAATAGCATTTTATTCACTGCACATTGACTGATACATTTAAAAACGTAAGCACCTTAACACACGATTTCCTTGATATACTGTTCAATACTTTACTGCAGAGATATACTAAAATATAATTCCTAATCACGGTCCCTCCAACACAAATCTCTATGCATAGGCAAAGACACTTATCTAAAGACTTATCCAAAAGTAAGGCTGGCTGCAGCTTTTGCCCACTCAACACTTATTTAGCACAGAAATCTTGTTTCTTGCATACTCATAGTCATATAAAAATTATAATGGCTGAATATGGCATAATTAGACGCATGTTTATACAATGATAGAATTATTTAACATGCTTTCAAAAATCAACTTAACTTAACAGACACCAAAACATTACATGTATAGTAAAAATAACAGCCATTTTTCAAGAACAGGCAAAGGTTCCTATAATTCTCAGTCAGAATTTATTTTCACGCATTGGCATCAAAAGACACTACATTAATTAACAAAACACTCGCACAATAGCACAGTAATGCTTTATTTTACCAAAAATAGACATAAACTTCCAACCATCTGTCATGACAAAATAAGCCTCCCACTATGTTCATTAAAAGTTGACCCACGTATAATACATTAACACAGTTACGTGCAGGACATAACACCAATGTAGGATCAGTGGAACTCATTTTAATGTCATTTAAATCTGTGCGTGGCAGTGTTCAATCAGCAAAAATGCATGTAACCCGATGGTTAATGTTTTAGGGGGCTTTCACAGTAACATTGGGGGAATAACCATGCAGACATAGATGCAACGTCCCCAACAAATACTCCTTTCAATTTAGTACAATCTCGTGAAGGTGAACATGCAGCATGTCTGCTTTCATCACAGCCTAGCACCGTTCTTCCCTAACACCCCTCCATGTTCATCATCTTCTGAGCACATGTCACGGGCAGTTTGACACCCTTTTCCAGCAAACTGTTCAGGTCGGTGCAGTTGCAGCAGACGCCGCAGGGAGCAATCAAAACGTAAAAGAATGACACGAAGAATCCGATTGGCCAGCCGATGATGATCAGCACTAGGAACCAAAGAATTGCCCACAGAAGATTTCCGCCACGGCCGGCACCCATGTTAGTTCAGCACTACCTGGTGGTGATAAACCAAACTATGGAAGCATGCAAGGCACCTTACGAATTCAGTGTCTTTGATAATCATGCACAAATCTGATCCTACTATCAACGCATGCTACGGCTGTGTATTTGCGTAGCAAACTATAGGACAGATTCGCCCTCTAGGTCGTCACAGAATCAAGAAGTCGTGTTAAACCGTTCACCATGGTTATACTGTGGCTATTGCATACAATTTCTAGCTTAGATTATAGACCACAGAGATTGTTATTATCCTAAGACAGATGACATTACATTCTTTATTCTGTGCTCATCTGGAGTGCAAACATATACTGAGGCATTGCAAACAAATCGCGAAGCAAGCAAAAATAATTTGAAGGGCTCGATGGTGCCATACATCATGGCATACCATCACCTTATATCATGCACTGTTGAAGAAACAGAAAATGTTAGAACAGTCATGCAACACCTGCAATGAAAATCGGTGAGTAATACATGCTGTGCGACCTGTGTGCCTAGAAAGAAAGTGCAACATGCAAGTTTGAGAGATGAGTTGCGTTGGGCAGCTGCTGGTACTCATGTGTAATTCTAATCCTTAGATATATTTTTGATTGGAAGACATTCAAATGGAGATTCAACAGACTAGATTGAAATAAATGCAATTTTCACTGCATGCAAAATGTTCTACATCGTAAATAAAGAAAACATCTACTAGTACTGCTACTACACAACGATCAACCCAACACCTCACAACACAACATTTAAATATTAGGATTATCAGTCACAACACTGAATCTACTGTATTAAATGCTGTGCCCACCCCCCAAAAACTAGAAACTACTGTGAAATAGGTGCTGCAAATACAGGTCCACAATCCCTTACCCACAACAGCAAAATTTAAAAAGCTCTGAAACTGTTGAGTTTTCTTTCATGGAGCATCACTCATATATGCATTAAATTACCAGTCTCGCCAAACATGACCTGACAGGTCCGAATATTTATCCAAGTAAGTGCATCAATTGTGTCATATTTTTGCTTTTCTATGATTTTGAATTTAATGTTAATCGTTTCTTATGGGGTGCTGTCAGAAAATCCCAATAAGGTATTATCATAATATACAGTACATGTATCATACTACTGTTCTGATATCCAAAAAAATTCTGAATTCTAAAACACATCTGGCCAAAGAGGTTTCAATAAGACATTGTGGACTTGTGCTTGGCAATGCTTGATACAACACATTAAGGGAGATTCTATGCGTGAAAAAGAACTTTTCACAGTTAAAACAATTCATCAATATAAAGAAATGCACATTTGGTCACATCGTGTCCGCTCAGTCATGATGAACATTTTGGCAAGAATGATCATTCTGTTTTGGATTGGATGAGTGCTGTTTCTAAAATGTATTAGCAGAAATAATCTCATTCAGAACGACATGGAAAATTATTACTGAAAATTGTATAAAACAACATGACACCAATAATCTATGCTGCTGTGTTCCACCATGGAACATAACTATAGATCAATGATGGCTTAAGGGCCTGTAGTGTGGAAACGAGCATGGATTCCCTAGTGAACTTTCCCATTTATGATCTAACAAACTATTATCAATGCAACGGAAATACTATCATCCATGAGTTTTCAAGATAGGCCATTTCGTGCAACAGGCACCTATTCCCTACTCAGCTTAGCAAATAGATTTCTGGGCACACATGTTGGTCGCGCATGTCAGTGGCAGTTGTACGCCCTTATGCAGTAAGTTCATAAAGTCTGCACATCCTCCGCAACACGCCTGGAAGGGAGACAGCAAAACATAGAAGACGGCACACACGAATCCAATTGGCCAGCCGAAGCAGATCAGGATGAGAAACCACAGCAGACCCCAGAACCAACCGCAGTTGCAGGCCATCTGTGAGAAAAGATAACGACGCTGAAATTTCACACAAACATGATGGCGGGAAGCACAAATATGCACATTACAGTACAGCTACCAGACTTGGCATAACATGTGAGCAGTGTGGACTGTGTTAAACTAGATCCTTTTACTTATTCTTCACCTATGCTATATTTTTTGATGATCATTAACAAAAAACAATTACCCACCACAGGTAATAGTAATATGAACACTCATCTCAAATGATATTTTAACAGTACCTAATCAAGACTACTCGTACTATATCAGGAGTAAGATGCCATGCCCCCCCCCCCCACCTGGACACGCACGCACGCACGCACGCACGCACGCACGCACGCACGCACGCGCGCACACACACACACACACTCATTCACTCCTCCTCATCTCGCACATCTTTCTCTCTCTCTCTCTTTCAAGTTAATACTCTTTAAGTTCAGACTGATTATTCTGTGATGGATGTATGTTTATACTCATATGATTAGACTTCTTAAATGTTTGAGTAACATTTGAATTGCCGACTAAATATATAAATGTTTGCATTATAATCCTCTTCACTTACAGTTACACATGATATCTTTGTGGACTGCACGTATATTAGTGGTATGAAAAAGGGTTTATTAATGTCATCCCTAAATTTTAAAAACAGTCGTACATGAACTGCCTGTAGTAGATATGGTGCACAGTTATCAAACCATGAATATTTACTGTGTATACATATATGAAATGGTCATTTTATCAACTGAGCCATCAAAACTATATAGCAGTGTAACATGCTACATCAGTACTATAATTTTATGTCACTGCACTCCTCTGCACAGTCACAGTACACTATACTGAAGGCAGTGTACATGCGCACGTGTGTATGTGTATATGTGGGAGTATGTGGATGCGTGTGTCTTTGCTATGACTCAGTATTACTGGCTAGAGATGGACTCTGAAGATATGTCTATTGACCGACTAAATAATTTGGACACATCTCTTGCCATAGCTCAAACAATCATACTCTCTCACACATATAGACAACATGAGGTTATGTACTATTGCTGTTCTATTCACTCACTGCTCACTCTACATTGTGTACTTTTCTCGAGCCATCAAAATCACTATGATTTTTATATGGTTGAAATTCTATGTTTTGATGACTATGCTACACATATCACAATTGATAATAATTAATGGACTTGCGATCCAGTCATCCATAGACCCATCCCTAAAATGTTAGTTAAAGTTTCTGCTAACGACTAATCATTAGATGGTTACCCCTATGATCTCCAAGAGTCTCACAGATATCACAACAGACATGGGTAAAGTATTTGGTAGAATCTGACTTGATTCATTTTTTCAAATAATTTCAGATTTTATGAGAATGTAATGACTTACTGTTTAGGAGAATAAGAATTCAGAAGAATAAAGCCTGGTGTGGAGTGACAGGTCTTTTTCTTGACTATGGCGTCTTCTGTTAATGAACTATTGTTCCAAACCTGTAGAAAAACATTCAGATCAATAGCACCAAGCAACCATCATATATTACATAACATCAGGAGTGGATAATAGAGATTATCCACTCCTGATAACATACTATCAGTATGTACATTTAGTATGACAGCAAGACCAGATTAGTAGTAGCTAGATGATGTCATTTCTACCTTGTACCTTGGGCCTCTGTACATGTATACACTAGGAGTGTAGGGTTAGATTATTGTTATGTTTCAGTTAGAGCTCAGGGTAGCGGTGCTAATATATGCCGATGATGTGCAGGGTTCTAAATTCAGAATAGAGAGTTGAATAGCCTGTAGCATAACAATATATGGCTGAGTACAAAACTATATGCAAGGTAACCTAACCCAATGAAAAACAGCAATAATCAGTTACACGCTGATCACCGTTGTAGCTACATCGGTCGGCACCTCCGGTGTTGGCCGACCCGCACGCAGATTTTCCTTCCGACCGGCACAAAAATGATTGCGTTTATGTAAAATTATCTTTAAAATAGTGAGAAATCTACAAATAATCACAACTAATACACTTAAAATTAATTTAAAAAACAACTCTGAGTTTAATCTCAACAAAAATTATGCGTAAAATCCGTAAATGCGGGCCCCTGGACCCCCAGCCATGAACTAAAATTGTCCAGGCTACAACCCTGACGCTGATAACACTGGCCGATTGCTAGTTTTAAACAGCAGAAAAAAACAGACACTATTTGTATAATTGTCACTCATGAGTACTAATCACCCCCTGTCTTCATACTTCCGTGTATAATGAAAACAGCGCACCTCCTTGCCTCTTGCCAGCATTTCTTACCTGCCATGACTCACTGAACAGACTCACCACTTTTTTTTTACATTTTTATTATGACTCACATGACCCACCCAAACAATCACATATAGGCCCTAGCTATCCAATTTGAAAGAAAACATCATTATATGTGCCCTATTATTGGCCTATAAGTATAACCTATAGTTGACTGAAAAGGAAATCAAGACTAAAAACCTACACTTTGGCTGCTTGCCATTGAAATTAGATAACTAGGTGGTTGCATAAACCAGTTATGAAATAGAGTTGAGTGTCTGGTATGCACCCATGAAATGTTGAATGTGGGCAGTAGAATTGCACTTGGGGGTGGGTGGAGGGGGGGAGAAAAAAGTAAATAACTGTCAGTGTCATGAAAATGTCAACTGTGGCACATATCCACGAATCAAAATATATACAGATGCCTTAAATTGATATGCTGAATCAAAAGCACTTAATCCATTTCACTAATAAAATAATTGTAAATAAACAATTAAATTGTATTTACTTCAAGTAGTAACGTGTATGTATTCTTGACTACTAATTCCATATAAACGCTGTTTAGATGCAACACAGTCTCACTCCTCGCATGCCAGTGTGCACAAACTCATAGCAATAAAAAACAGGTGGAAAAGTTAACCAAATTCGCACAACGTTTCGCTTCCCTTCACAGGACAAACTATACCGCCTCCACATTCCTTTAATGCTCCCTTTCCCACCCGCTCCTTTGTCTGGTGACTTTATGCACAACGCGTTCGTGTGGTGGGACTCTGTATTGCAGAACAGCATTATTTGAACAGCATTTACGTGAAATGATTATGTGATAGACGTGCATACTATAGCTGTCCACAGGTCGAAGTCTGCCACGCCTAAAAATAAGTAGGGCTACAAGTTATAAGATGGCAACTAAATCACAAATACCTGATAATAGCCGTTAGTAATGCTGTATATAATTACTAGAAAATAGCATAATCAGAACAAATAAACAAACAACGCAAGGCCAACGACATGTAAATTGTAATTATAAATAAAATGATAGCATGAGAGCAAAATAACATGTCGTTTTAGTGTCGTGCTACCCAGCGGGAAATTCAAAATGCTTCTGTGGGAAATTATGTCCATTTGCTCATCTGGTTGGGAAGGCAACAACACTGACACTGTATATTAGTAGCACTAAAAATTGTTATTATTAATTATATATTACTATTAGACTAGTACTAGTAGTAGTAGTAGTAGTAGGCCTACGACTAGCTCTAGTGGGTACCGGTACTATAGCCCACAAGCACTTAATCTGGAGCGTTTCAATAAAATATAATGCTAAATAAATACGAAATTTATTTACTACCAAAGTCTTAATGTTTCTATACTCTCTTTCACCTATTATTGCCGACAATTTTCTGTAAATGCCGTCCAAATGCTCATCTGCAACAAACGCTGGCTGCCGCTGCACAGTGCACACTGACACATAAATATATAGCAGGTAAGAAAGCGTGCTGCCAAAATTTGCTCGATGCTCGCTTGATTTCATACGAATACAACACAAATATTCAACCATTCTACTCCATCTTTGTTTCTATTTGAAGAACAGTGTTCACTTGTTATAAAAACATACTGTCTGTGTTCGTAACCGAGCGGTGTCATGCGAAATCACACAAAGCCTGACGAAATTCTCGCATTCGCTCCCGTTGCAGTTTATGTAAATGGCTGTCGGGATCAGGAAACACGTACCCACCGGCGCTCTTCGTGACCTCGTGAATTTATTGATGCTTTACCAAATTGATTTTTTTTTTGTTTTTTTTAATTTATTATTTTAGTTAGAATTTTGGTTATGTTTTGAATTCTTTACAATATTTTCCAACAGCCGTTATAACGCTATATTATAATATTATTACACATTGTTCTGGCTCTTAGATGTGTGAAAATCTATAACATTTTGTGTGCTGAACTTCTTACTCTAATTTATTAAGGTGTCGCGGTCAATAGGAATAATATGCCTAACTGTAATCAAATCGTATTAAAATCTACTCGTTTAATGCTACTATTTATTTTAGTATTTGAAGTTTGTTATGATGTTACTTCAATTTGTGTTCGACGTGTATCTATACCATTCCTGTGTTGAAATTAAACGTTTTAACTAGGTTTCGTAGCTAACTCTGTTTAAAATGATATCAACAGCAAGTGTTTGATTCGCGTGGTAATCAATAACATTAATTACGTATATACCAGGAAAAAATGTATCATTAACTTTAATAGTAGAATTATTAACTTTTTAATGATTTGAGCATTAAAACTTAATAGCGCATCATCACTTGTCCAATGATTTGTATTCTTAAAGATAATGATTTGAACATTAAAGTTAATGGTAATTTCGCCGCATTTAATAGTTTGATTAATAAATTTAATGATCAAATCATTAACTTTAAGAGTAGAATTATTAACTTTTTAATGATTTGAGCATTAAAACTTAATAGCTGTATCATCAACTTGTCCAATGATTTGATTCTTAAAGATAATGATTTGAACATTAAAGTTAATGGTAATTTCGCCGCATTTAATAGTTTGATTAATAAATTTAATGATCAAATCACCACTTAATAATCGATTCTTAAAATATCGATCATTAAATGCCTTTTATAATCGCGATTATAAAAGGCATTTAATGATCGATATTTTAAGAATCGATTATTAAGTGGTGATTTGATCATTAAATTTAGTAATCAAACTATTAAATGCGGCGAAATTACCATTAACTTTAATGTTCAAATCATTATCTTTAAGAATCAAATCATCTCAATAAAAAACATGGCTTGTTGATAAAGCAATAATAATACAATAAACAATTCTTTTTTAACTCAAAACTTTATTGAATGCTATCTTACACCCACAAACAATTTTCACTCTTTATTTACACTGTTAAAGCTAAACTGTATGAACGAAAAGCCCCCATATGTGGCTACCAAGAGAAATACAAACGCACTGCAAACACGTACCTCAAACGAACGATCAGAACATGATATACACTAATCAGAGTCCGCACACACATATGTCCTTCATTGTCCTTCCAATTCCATGTCCTCTGTTGCAGGCATTTCGTTTTCGTCCTTTTCCTCATCACGAATAATTACGACCTTCTTTTGTTCT